CTGAATTTATTGATCTCGTCGTTTCGAAAGAAAGTTGCATGAATCATCCTGTGTGATATACAGCAGGGCTGCCAATATGACGCAGTAGTGAGGAATTATATGCATACGACCGCATAAACATAAAATAATTTAGTCTTGCAGAGTAATCAGTCGAAACTTCTGTTATATTTTTTGAGTATATCTAAACAAAAAAAGTAACAGTACTACTCACATCACATCATGGTCAGTCTCTAGTGACAGCAATAGATCAAGTTCAGTCGATTATGGCACGTAGAGCAATTGATGAAAGTAGCTTGGGAAGGCTGCGAATTATCAACTCAAATGAGATTAGTTGTGTTCAAATACTCGTACGATTGTATTTGCTGTCAGCTTGTTTTCCCCCACCAACATATAGGGTAGGAATTAGGATTGTGAATTCTGTATATAAAAACATCAATTTTTAGCTGATGCCCAATAAAACAACCAACTTGTTGCGTCAAGTATCAGATATGAACTTGGTATTGTACAAGTATCTTTGTTGGTCATGTTTACTTGTATCTCACATGCCGTCACATTATTTTATGATCAGGAAGAACAAGTAATGTACCCGTCATCATTAGAGAATGAGAGTTTCATGGTTGCATTAGTGAATTGTAAAAACGAGAGCTATGGATTGATACAAGGCCCTTCGTTAGACAATTCAACGCCCTGGGAAATCACTCGTGCATACAAGTGTGAATAAATGGTCCACGAAACACAGAAATGTTGTCCGAACAAGGGGACGGCAAGTGTGCGGGAAGGTAATCCTTGCCCATTTTCTGTAGTGAAAAAGGTATTTCTGTCAGCGTGTCAAAGAAGATATCCGATGACAGTGCCTGCACAGGACGATTCCAGAGTTGAATTCCATTTTGGATCCAGTTTCTTCCATGGTGAAACAAGATACAAGAAACACCGATACCCAAAAAGGTGCGTCTCTTGCGCAATTTAACGAGAAGCTGATCCAATTATGAATCGCATAAAATGCTTGCAGGAAGCTGGGAACTTTTTTTTTTTTTTTTTGGTGATAAGGAAGCTGGGAACTTGATAAAAAGGATTTATTTTAGGGGGGAAAAATCTTGTGGCGACATGTATGAGAGGAAGCCATTTTTTTTTTTTTAAAGTAAGTTTATGGGAGGAGAGGTGTATTTTGCTCATAGGGGTTCAATCTCTACGATGCTAGCTCTGATCGGCATTAGTGTAAGAGACCATCAGGAAATAATATTGGGAAAATTATCATTAGAGATCTATTTAATTTTTCTATAATCTTTTTGTTATTTCAGTTTACTCAAAGGTAGTTACTACGTTATGGATTTGATCATACAAAATATTTATCATTTTTTGAATGTTATGTAATTATTTCATTAAAAATTTTAGTTTTTTTTAAAAGAAATTTAGTTTGAAGGTACCATACTATGATTAAGGGTTAAACAAAGTTGAAAGATATTGAATAACGTACTTTAAATCAAAAAGCGGATAACTTACATTATTTTTATCCTAATTGTCATTCTAATTCATGTAAGGCCTCCGATGGATTGATCTATTTATTACTTCTGGTGAATGAATATATTTGCTAAGTTCAATTTCAAGCGGTGTTCACATTTAGTATTTGTTTTGAATATAATCATTTTTAATAAAAGAATACTTGTGCATAGGAAAAAAAATTTGTTGTTTATTTGAGAACTTTTTTATTCTAGGCCATTCTTAAGGCCAATTTCTTATTCAATTCATCTTTTGGGTGAGATATAAACCATGAACACCTGCTAGATCGGCTAGGAAAAAAAAAACAGAACATTTTTTGGACCAATCAAAAGAGAAAAAGAACTCTCACCAAAAAAAAACAGAGAGAAAAAGAATAAGGCCATTAAGGATTACATAAAATCTGGATTAATATGCGGCATTATATATGATTTTTTGCAACAACTACATAATTTTCGATATTATTGATTAATGTCTGAATTTAAATAAAGAGGTACTACTATAAATGTTATGCTACTGGCTTTCCGCGCCTTTGGTCACCGACAGAGGCTACCGTTTCTTTTCATATTGCTACAAGGCTGTTAGGGGAGTTCTGATAGCATTTTTAAGACGGTTTGAATATTCTTTTGCAAAATTTGTTGGGGGAATCTCATTCATCAAAGAAAAGAAGCAAAAACAGACGGAAATGAGAGAAGAAAGAAGCGGGTGACCAAGGTTAGTAAATATTCGGAGTCGTACTAATTCTTCAAATAATTCTTGAATTATCTGTCAAGTAATCATTCTTTCCTTTATTAGGAACAAGCTTTGCTTTTTCTCAGCCTTGCTTGAGCCTTAGCTCATACATGTTCTGGAATGACATCTCTGTTCATTTTTTCTTTTCCCCACTCAATGGTTTACTGCGTCAGTTATTCTTACCATTCTTCCCAAGTTATCCTGGATTCCAGTGAACTTTCTTTCTTTAGTATGGTAAGTCCTGTAGTTCTGGCAAGATATATAACTTCTTGCCTTGTTAAGGTGTCTATACAAAATATACTATGCAACAGTTCTGGCTGTGGCGCTGGCCACAAAAATAAAGAACCAGGTTGGCATCACAGATTGATTAAACAGCTCACGTCCAGGTCTGTATTTTCCTTCTCTTGTCCCCCATTGAAATTTCATTAATCAATCTTTGCATTCTGCCTGAAAACTGTGGTTTCTATATTTTTTATTAAATTAAAAAAAAAAGGAAAATAGATATGTTCTACCTTCTCAGCATTGGAGTTCTAGCCGTAAAACTGACATATCACCTTCAAAATGCAACAGAGTGCTTCCGCTACCATGAAAATATCGACTTTGGGTTAAAACTAATTGCAGGATTACTTAAAAGGCCGAAGGTATGTGTAAAAGATGTCACATGATTGATTTACGTATTTACCTAAAGGCCGAAGTTTAGCCCCTAAATCCTCTCCTGCACCAGAGTATCCTGCTTCTGTTAGGGTCTTGCAGGAGAGAACCTGCAGAGCAGCTGGGTTCCCTCATCTCATGTGCTGGAGGATGCTGCTGCACTCGAGCACATTTGCATTTTATCTTTGTTTTAAGAAATAAAATATAATTTTTTTTAATAAAAAAGTGATGATAATGGGCTGTCTCTCGTAATTACAGGTAGGGTCACAAATTTTAGTCTAAGGGTGGAGAAGGGAATTCTGACAGGAAAAGAAGAAAAAGGATTTTGAGAGTATCAGAATCCCTTACCTTTGACCCCAGATGAAAAAGTTTTATCCTGTTTTGATTTCTTCTGCATGTCTGGCTTAATCAAAATACTGAAATAGACGGTTTGCCTTGTGCCTCTTCCTCCGAGAAGTCTGAGATGTATTATTGAATTCAAACAATTTGATTCATGAAATAGCATTGCTTCATCGCATTAGCATTTTCACTGACGACTTAGCTCGTTGTTTAGTTAAAGAGATAATCATTTTAATGCTACAAAGCAAGGACCCGCCTTCCTATGTTGATTCTTGGAACTTGACTTTATGCAAAATCTATCAATCTCGATACTATGAACTGATTCCATTTGAAAATTTTACCCACATAGGAATGAAATAATTGAATGTGTAAATTCTAAAATGCCATCTGAAGGCATATAGATGACTTGTTGCATAAAATGCCAGGTTAAAGCAGACTGTTCATTTTTTGTCGTAATGAAAAAGTTCTCAATAGTTTAGGATGAGCTTTGAAAAATGAGAACCGATGCAAATACAAAGCACAAGTGCTCTGTGTGGCATAGTATTCAATACTGGTGTTCAACGCCTAGTCGGCACAAGCATAATTCCCTTTTGGAGATGCGCGCGCTTCATATGATATGGAAACTGAAGGCTCTATCCTCTTCATGTTCTCAGTACTCTGGAATTATGTTCATACTTATATTTTCCTTTAAGTATGGCTAACTTCAAATCTTGTTGCATATACATATATGTATGTTATATGTACCAAACTGTAGTCATGCTTTTGTCTATGCTTTCTTTGAGTACAGTATAATTACTTACATATAAAAAGGCTTTCAGGTATCAATTTTCCATATAAAGAGGGAAGCCAGGCCCTAGATGGAAACTGGTAGTGGCGAACTCAAGGAAACAAACAAAGAACTCGTATCTTCCATTAAAGAAAGGATAGAAGCCATCTCATCATTGAGATCCATCTTCATAGTGCCAGAGAAGCTTAGAACATCGGGTAATGATCATGGGAATGAAATGTATATCCCTGATACAGTTTCCATTGGTCCCTTCCATCATCACAGAAATGGAAACCTAAAAGTCAAGGAAGAGCACAAGTTGCATTACCTTTATACTCTGCTCAGTCGCAAGCCGAACCTGGAAGCAACATTGCACCAATGTATAAAAGCACTGGGAGATATAGAGCAAACAGCAAGACATTGCTATGAAGGAACACTCAATCATAAGAGCGACGAGTTTGTGGAAATAATGCTCATTGATGGCTGCTTCATCATTGAGCTTTTCTTGAAGTATGCTTATAAGGGTCTGAGACGCCGTGGTGATCTCATATTCACCTCGGAGCTGTTCTTTGACGTCAGGAAAGACCTCATTTTGCTAGAAAACCAGATTCCATGGATGGTTCTTCAGAGTTTGTTCGAGATTGTGCCCAAACCAACACCTCGTACTCTCAGCGAGCTTGCCCTCGGTTTCTTCAAAAAGATGTTACCAGGAGAACTGGAATTTCTCAGAGAGAAGTTCAGCCAAGAAGGCAACCATTTGCTCGACCTTATCCACCAGTGCTACATCCCTACATATGCGATAGTTGAATCAAAGAAAGCTGGGGAACCAAAAGCAGAAGATATGAAGTGTGCATCAGATCTTCGGAAACATGGAATCAAGTTCATGAGGTACACAGCCGCAAGCTTGTTAGACATAAGCTTTTATAAAGGGGTTTTCGAGATTCCTCCACTGGAAACCAAGAAGTACAATAAGATACTGTTCAAAAATCTTATTGCACTTGAGCAGCATCATTCTGATCAGATTCAGTACTTCACATCTTATGCCAAGCTCATGAAAGCCTTCATCAGCTGCAAGGAAGATGCCAAATTGTTCACACATCTGAGGATTGTGGTCAGTGACAGTAAAGATAAGGCCAAGCACAAGGACAGGGATATGGTGAAGGAAGAAGCTCTTTCACTCTTCAGCAGCCTCTGCGATCGAGTGGATGTGAAGAAGTTCTATTATGCAGGAGTTGTTGGAGAGGCGAACGATTATGTGACAAAAGGGAAATCATGGTGGCAGAAACTTAAATGCGGTTGCCTTATTTGACTTTTTGTGCTCATTCTCTTGGAGCTTTTTGTGTGTGCGCGCGCGTGAGAGAGAGAGTTTCACAGTCAACAGTTTTTCACAACAATTTCCACCCAAAAAAATAAAATAAAATAAAAAGGAGTGCTTTCCCCTTTTTGATTGCCAACAGCAACAGGGTAGTAATAACTTCGTGGGATTTTATGATGAATGATTATAAGCAGTTCAAATTTACGGCAAATGCTAGCTAATGATGATGGAAGGCCAGAAGTTATACAGGTTGTGTGTCATACAATAAGTATTAACCGATAGGAAAGAAGGAAAAGGTTAACAAATAATTTAAAGTACGATAATAATCCTAAAAATATCTTGTTACTACACGAAACGGAGATCACAATTTTTTACAGGAAAAATAGTTGAACATCTATTCAATAGTGATTCATAAAATTTTATGTGAGAAGAATTTTGTTTCAACTTATATAAAAACGTTTATAAGCATTTAACTATAAACGAGCTTGAATCCATCTAGTGGTCACAAAATTGAAGTATGTTGAGCCTTGACAATGATTCAAATGTTTATATTCTTGTTCATAAATTTAGTGTCAGATTTACTTTTTTTAAAAATATACAAAAGAAAAGTGCCAATCAACTTCAAAATCAACCAATTTTCTCAACATTATGGTTAGGATATATTGATATTGTGTTGTGATGTAGATCATATTAATTTAAACCTAAAACATTTTTATTATTTTTGGTTGAGGTACAAATTTGCTCTTGGAGTACTGGCATCTGAAATTTTTTTTAATACAAATTTATTTTGAAAGTTTAAAAATATAACAATATTACCCATATTGCTGAAAATATACTAATAATCAATGTTAATTTTTTAACGATAGGAGGTAATAATATAATGATTTTAAACTTTCAGGTTAATTTGCGTCAAAAAATTTCTGAATGCCCAATACTCCTGATTGAAAATTTTCGGTTTAAACTTAGACCTTGTTCCTTTGTTTTTCATACTAACCAATGATTAAAACAATTTTTTTTAAGAAATGATGATAAACAAAATAACCTATAAAATAATTATACAATAATTTATTAAGGAAGGAAGTCGGACGGGGGGACGTTTCCTCGTTTTGCAACTTGCTATTTTGCGTCATTCTTTTTTTTTTTTTTTTGGGTGTTGCCAACCCTATTTTACTTAATTCAGCATCATTATTTGCAGAGTCCCGGTCACATTCAGTTCCTGAATTAGAAAATATATCCATCCAAGAATAGTAATTGAAAGAGACCCATGTCATTAATTTTTAAATATCATCAAGAGTTATTAATCATTTTTAAAAATTATTCAAATGTTTATCTTACTCTTTTGATGATATTTTACTCTAGTTATGCGTCACGCGCATCTAATAATCCATAATCCGTACTGGCACCAAGTCTCTGCCATGTGCGCCGTCCAGTTGTTAATCATGGAGTAGTTCGTTGTTCAGTGGTGCATCCGACGGTCAGAAACAAAAGCAAACAGTCTCAAATGTCTGCCGTTTTTGGTTTTTCTGCATAGAAGATCTCACCGGTCGTCTTTCGCGCCTAAGCCTCAGAAGTTGCGGTCTTCGTCATCAAGCTTTCTCTGGGGCGCGTTCACATAACCCAAAAAAAAAAAAACCAAAGCCTTATCTCAGAACGCTGCACTTTGCCTTGTTTGTCGCCAAACCGAGAAATGGCAGCTCATAGGAGAGTCGGAGTGGCCGTTGATTTCTCACCTTGCAGCAACAGATCTCTCCAATGGACTGTGGATAACCTCGTCCGAGAAGGGGATCACCTCATTCTTCTCAACGTTAGCCGCGAATCGGATTACGAGAAGGCCGAGATTCAGCTCTGGGCAGCCACTGGTTCTCGTAATGAGCTTCCTCCTTTTGCTTCTGTTTTTTTCTGCCTGTTTCTATCTTGCTTGCGCTGTATAATCTCGCTTGGCTTTGCGACTTAGTTAAACAACATCGATCATTGTTCGCTTTGCTTGAAGTAGTTTGATGATTAGATTCTTAAATTACACGATCGGGCTGCTATTGCTTGTGCCAGAATCTAACTGATCTAAGCAGTACTTTATAAATCTCTGATTTCTATTAAACTGAAACGATGTCCATGGTATGAGTTCAAATTCTAGAACTGAAAAACCTACTGCGGAGAAGCATGTTTGTTTTATTTGTCCTGATTTTGTTCTCGTACTAGAGTTTTTGGGGTCAATTCCAATTTGAGAGATGAGTTTAATATATTCTGCCTACTCTTTACAATAACAACAACAAGCCTTATTCCACTAGGTGGGGTCGACTATATAAATCACACGACGCCATCGTGCTCTGTCAACAACCCAGTCCTTAGATATGTTGTTGATTAGGAGGTCTCGTTCAATGACCTCATTAAGCGTTTTTCTTGGTCTTCCTCTTGGTCTTCCTTTATTCTTTTTTATGGGACTCCATCTTGTCTAATCCACCTTCCTCACCGGGGCCTCCAATAGCCTTCTCTGCATATGTCCAAACCATTTTAAGCGATTTTCTGCCTACTCTTTAACAAGGCAAAATTTTTCTCTTATTAGTTATAGATCTTTTAAGCCTTTCATAGATCTAAATGGTATTTCTTCCTCTTTCAAGATAAGAAGATTTTATGAACTGTCAAAACTCTAACCATTTCCCCATATTTATTATGAGTTAGTACTAAATGGATTTCCGTACGTTGAACCTAAATGCAGCTTTGATTCCGCTGGCTGACTTCTGTGATCCAGTGATCATGAAGAAGTATGGAGTGAAACCTGCTGCCGAAACACTCGATATTGTTCAAACTGCTGCCAGGCAGAAGAAGGTATAAATATAATTATAACATCTTTGGCCTTAAAGGTGATGATTGTTCAAATTCAATGTTCATCGGAGTGGCCTCAACTCTTTTTCTGGCGCAGGTTGAAGTTCTCTTGAAGATCTACTGGGGAGATGCTCGTGAGAAGATTTGCGAAGCAGTTAATTCCATACCTCTGGACTGCCTTATTATGGGGAACAGAGGCCTTGGGACCGTCAAAAGGTACCATAGTTTAAATATGTCGTTCGCAGGTAGTTTGGACAGAAAACAATTAAACCATGAACACTGATCCATTTCTCACTTTGTGTGAAACATGGATTTACAGTTTGGTTTGGATGAAAAACTCTTCCGACGTTTAAGGATAAGGAGATACTTAGGAATTTTGTCCATTTTGACTCCTACTAGATATTGAGTTGTTGTTCATTCTCTGCATAATTGACAGGGCTATAATGGGCAGTGTGAGCAACTACGTAATGAATAACGCGTCTTGCCCTGTGACAGTGGTGAAGGCAGAGTCCCATTGAAGCCGCTTTGTCTCTGTAGCATGCTCGAAGTCAATAAGCTTTCATCTGGTTGAGCCATGATTTCCTTGTCGGCTGGATAAGTTGTATTCTGCTCCTTTCCAAAACGAACTTATATTCTAGCAAAATAATGCTGTTCTATGATCTTTGTGTTTTGTATTGGATTAATATGAGTGCATATATATGGTCAGTGTTTGTGTTGCATGTTTTATGATCAACTGCGTATTCAGTGTGTTTGGGCCTATATTGCTGAATTTGTGTACATAAAGGCCATTATTATGTTACGAAATGAAAATATGAATAAGAACGATAATCAAATTTGATGGAATTGAACAATACTAATGTTTGGGACGTCAATGAAAAAAATAATTTTTTGGGGGCCTAGTCGAAATTAACGTTCTATGTGAAGTGACGCAAATATCATTAGGCTCCCCTCATTGCCTAGCATGCCGTGCAATGGTTGTTGACTGGGGCCATTGACCAGTTAACGGTCACGGGTGGTCGATCATAAAATTAATTGCAACCAAGATTCAATGGATTTAAGAGTATTTTTAGTAACTACAAATATCATTAAACGCTATTTATTGTTCATTTTACTAATCACTAATAGGATTATTGATTTTTTTAATAATTCATTTGCTTTATCGAAATTCAAATTATTTTTAGAGATTTTAAATACAATTAATTTAACATATAAAATTTATAGTAAGTGACACTCATTGTAAATTATGAACACTATTTTTCTTTCTCAAATTCCATATAATATAAATTGTAATGGTAATTAGCATAACAAAAGCAGCTGTCACAATGTTACATTAATTGGATTTCCAATACCCCATTTGTTTTATTATTAAGGGAAAATTACAATTAAATCCCAAGTGAGAGAAATAATTACTAAAAAATTTTAATAACAACCCGCCCAGTCTGTAATGACAACTTCTACAATAAACAATGACAATTTTTAAGACTTATTTTGTAACTTTTTTCTTTTCTTAAGACCTCATTATAATTCTCCCTATTATTAATTTTCTCATCACACGAAAATGGACCTAAAGCCAAACAGGGCCTACAAATTTATAAGCAAACATATAAGTTTATCCAAAAACAACCATCCTTTGCCAACGGTAGAATTGCCAAATATATTGCCAAAGCGGGATTCAATGTTGTATATAACAAACCTTTTGCACTTGGTCCAGGAAGTAGACAATGAACTATCCAAAAATAATGGATGAAATAAGCGCGCTAAAAAATTGCACCCGGTGTAGCTGACAGCTGTATAGTGCATTTATATTACTATAGTTACAGCATCAAAAGGTAGCTAAAAATTCATGATATACAAATATTTCACTTTTGAGGAACGCAGAAGCCAGCACAAACGAGTACATCTACGATCCATCCATGAAAACTGCACCATGTTCAACAGATTTGATGAACTTCTTCAGCAACAGTACCACGATTGCGATTGTAAGTCCAATTGCAGCCAATGTGAACAAACGATCATCAGCATTCTGGACCCTTGCTTCTGGCCTTGGATTCGAAACCCTTTTATCTGAATCTTGGGGCAGCTGGTTGTTTGAAACACTAGATGGAATTTCTCTTGAAGCTTCGACACCAATAGGATGAGGATTTGCATTTGCCGGTTCTTCTTCAACAATTTGGTCAACTTCTGTTCGACTTTGAGGCCCCTCTCGGGCCGGCATCTCTGGATTTGGAGAACTAACCCGGCTCACATCTTCCCCATTTTCATGGTGTTGTTCTTCAGGGTCTTGTGATGGGCTATGTTGGGGAACAGGAGGTGCTTTGCTCAGCATATACTCATGTATCTGAGATCCAAAATTAAAATTAGCACAAGGAATTGCAGAAAACATGCACCAGCTAAAAACCAATAGAAAACAAATTTTACCTCATCAATAAGTTTTTGACGTTCAGGAGTTCCAAATCTTGGAGGCGCTTCACGAGATTTAATTGCCAATGCACGCCTCTCTTCCTTCTTGTAATCCAATGAGCCCAATGCGCCATTGGGATTGGTAGGCATGAATGCAATCAATGCAACTAAAGCCGTCCTTACTGATAAAAAGAAATTTACATCAGCCAGGTACGAACCTTGGGACATCATAGTAAAAAACTCCTCTTATGTGAGGAGAATTATATCTATATGAATATAGCAATGCCAAGTTTCCAATGCAACATAGACAGCACCGATATCTCAAAAGAATTATGAAGGCCACAAGCAAACATCTCGGGCAGCTCTATAGCTGGAGAGCAACAAGCGACATAATGCCATAAAACAATCAGTCTCTCATGTAACTCTAAAAACCACAAAAGGCATATTTGCAATATATAATGCAAGCTGTGTCCCTAATTTGCCTCGAACAAGACTTGCAAAATAATTAGAAGTAGCAGGGTACCAAACCAAAAAGGAGATGTTATTACCGCTCCAAGATGGTTGCCAATGTTCTGGATGATGATTTGATATGCTTAAGCAAATCTTGGTTTGCGTCTCAAAACGACCATTAGGCTGGCAACATAACGGTAAAACTTATGATAGACTTGAGTTTTGAAGTTTCAGAAAAGAGTGGTCAACAAAAATTAAAGCAAAACAACTGTAAAAGATATTATGCAAATTAATATGACAAAACAATCTAATCTATCTAAAGGGGGAAAATCTTACTGTCAACAGCATAAATGAAGGAGGTTTGAATGGATATTCAGCGGGCAACTGAATCCGTCCATGATAAATACCACCCTCAAATTCAGTTTCACAAGACCCTCTTATTGCAAACTGCCATTCAAAAATATTTTCCTGAAAAAAATTATCATATCAGAGTCCATTAAAGAAAACTTCTGGAAGACAGCAAAAACAAGGCAATGCTGCTCCACAATCAAATGCAAAGTTTAAATTAGCAAGAAACTAGGAATATAGATAGATCCAGACCATGTGGGAAAAATCATGCACAATACGCACCCTCATATAGAGGGAAAAAAAATTAAAAATAAAAGTGATGAAGAGCGCCTTCACAGTTCAGGTTCATATAGTACATATGATTCTGTGGGGAATGGGGAATGAGCTTATAGTACATATGATTCGGTGGGGAATGTGGAATGAGCTTGAAATGGCTCTAAAATAATCCAGTCACTCTAAAATGTTTGGTTGAACTTCGATAATGCAATGGTATAAAAACAAAAAGTATAAAAGAAAGGAACCACCCGATAATTAGTTTAATTTATCATGATAAAAGAAAATAAATAAGGAAGGAAACAAGGCCTCGCCTAGGAATATTTTTCCCATACAGGAGTGGATGGCATGATAAAGTTCAAGTCAACTTTAATTAATTTCATGTGGTCATGTTTTATCAACAATAATAAAAGGTAAATAAAGATAAAACTTCCACTAAGGTAAACTGTTAAAACGAAGGAATAAATAAGACCTTAATTTTTTCAGTTTGAAAATCTAGACCCTTTCAATTCCGTGCCTAGACAACTATCTTAGTCTTAACCAAGACCACGAAAATTATGACGCCTCTGATCTCCGTCACTCAAAAGGACAGACGCATACTTCTGATGAGGAGTCGGATCTACTGGTTTCTTTCAATGAGGAAATAACTTATGCTCCACACGCAGCCACAGATCAGTGAAGGCAGGCGTTCTGATTCTTTCTTAAATCGCAAAAAAGTCAAGATTCGCAATTCGGTGACAGCCACAAGCCTAATCAAGGAACTCTACTATATTGATGGGAGGGATAAGGTCTTCACTTTCACTGCTAGCAAAAAACGTTATTAATTGCAATAAATAGCTAGACACCATAACAAAAGGCTACCTCTAGAGCTTAATCAAACCCCATTGGTCGATAATTCCGCTAAAAGAACGTCGAATATGCGCACCGTGATTTGAAATTGAAGAACAAGATGAGAGATCCTGGACAGCAAACCCTAATAGAACAGGAACTCCTTGAAAGTATTAGTTTGAGGTGAAAAGAGATAATACCTCAAGCGGCAAGCTCATGAAATCATCTGAAGGGTTAGATTGCATCTCCTTTACCTCCTGTAGAATACGCTTCACCGCAGGGTTCTTCAGGTTGTACTTCTCCGCCATAATTTGAGACCTCAAACCACGTATACAAAGTTTGACGGGACAATTTATTCAATCAAATCCTGCACGGACACTATTGCTGCCGACTCCACCACGGCTGCCGGTTGAATACGACGGCAAACGCCCAGCGCTGGACAAGAATTTTTTTTTTTGGCCAAAGACAAGAATTCAAGCTATGCACATTTGAAATATACCGCACCAGAGGAAAACGCGTCAGAAAAGAGATATGAAAACGAGGACGTTCGCTCTCGGATTGACACGTCATGGGACGAGTGTTTTCTTACGTGCCGGTCTTTTATTGGAAATAATGGAGCTGGTCTTCCCTCTGGTTGGATCAAGCGAGTAGTTCGAAAGCAAATTATTATTTAAGCTACTTATATAAACTGCTCGCAAACCCTGCAGTGGAAGTAGGTTAGATCCCTGTAGGGAGCTGATAGTCTAGTCTACTTTAAACTTAGATAGATCTATTTAGTAAATAGGTCAGACTCAGGTTTAGACTTATTAGTTATTACAAGGCATATTTAGACAAACAGATCAGGCTTATTTTTATAAGACCTAGCTTACAAGACAACAGGCTTGACCTATTTAGTTTTTTTTTTTAATTTATACTATTATATAATATAATTAGGTGAACTTTATAAATTATTTATAAAATTACTAACTTAGCCATAATCCTAAGTTTCACATCCCATCCTTCACACACAAACACAACCCATTCATCAATCAATCTTTCACCTCTATATTTCTTTTTTTTGATCACTCAAGATGATTACGTTAGCTCACTCCCTCTTCCTTGATTTACGTTGTTCACTAAAGCATAATAATTGTAGTAAGTTTGTTTTAGTGATGCCCAAATGAAATATTATAATACTGCTAGAAAAGCAAGAGGTAAAATCTAGTTTTACATGCCACTTGTTGGTTTGGTTGATTTTAGAAAATATATCTTCTTAGTCAACATATAATTGGTTTTTCTTATTCATATTTGCTGAAACATTGTTGTTACTAAGTATTCTTTTTCCTTACTAGACTCTTATTATCTTATATTGTATGTGAGAATAGATCCTAAGCTTTTAAGACATAACGTAGGCTTTAAAATAGGTTTGAAGAGTTATACATAATTTGGAAACATGTGCTTTTAAGCCTATTTAAATACCTAAATTTTAAGTAGGCTTTTAAAAAGACTTTCAGACCTTATCAGACCTTTTGAAGATTCAGGCTCGAGCTTAAAAAAAAAAAAAAACCCTACATGCAAGCTCAGGCTCAGGCCCAGGCCCAGGCTTTAGATCTCTAATACAGGTCCAAGCCTATTTAGCTAAAACTTAGTCTAATCTAGCATATTTCCACCCTTAGTAAATATGATAATACAAACTAACATAAAATTTTTCTCACATACTTATTTTATACTCCCTTCGTTTCTTATTATAAGAGACATTTGATGCTCATAACATGTTCCTATATATAAGAGACACTTAAAAGTTGTCTTTATTTTTTTGTGTTGATTTTCTATTTTACCCATATTTATTGTCTCAAACTCACACTCTCCCTCCCTTCCACTTCTCTTTCTTTTAATAATTTAATTGTTCTCTCTCATGCTCTCTCTCCTTATTAATGAGGGCATTTTTGAAAAAAATTATACTTTTTATACATTGATTGTTCTTAACTAATTTTAACTATTTTTTTATCAACGTAATTCGGTTATTCGTCTCTTATAATAAGGAACGGAGGGAGTATTTTATAAAATACAATTGAAAATTTGTTTTCAAGATCATATCCCAATATAACAGGGTTTTTTTTTAAAGGCCTCCTATTAAAAGTAACTTTATTTAAGATACTGTTAATTACAAAATGTAAATATCTTTTTCAGTAAAAACTGGTTCGCTACGGAGGACTAGCTCCCTCGACCAACTCTTATTAGTATAACGGGCTTTTGCTAAACTCATAAGTTGACGAGTTGAGAACTGTGGATATTTAGGCAATGGGCTGAGTCCATTAAGAATGCCAGATGGGGTGTTGCATGGGACGCTGTGTCCGGGGACCGCCACGTATAAGCCCAATGATGACGCCGAGTCTTCGAGGAGCCTGCTAATGTTGCCCCCAGAAGCAACGTGAAAGTCATACACTTTCTGAAATTTGTCTTCCATCAGAGTATACTACGCGAAGAGAAAATGGAGGAGAGGATGAAGGCAGAGGAGAAGAAAATAGGGATTATAGAGGCGTGGTTGAGGAAGCACCGTCTACAGTTCACCGGAGCCACCAAGCACCCTTTTGTTCTCTCCATTCGCGACGGCACCATCGACATGGCTTCCTTCAAGACATGGCTGGTTCTTACCTCACTTCCCGTTCCGTGTTATTTGTTTCATTTTAATCATTCATTCATTTATACTTCTTTTACTCATTTGGTTTTCTGGTTTCTCCTAATTTGACTTGCTTTTCTTATGAACTGCCTGTGATTTTCAACTATGAAAGTGTTTGTCATGGGATTCAATTCACCTTCTTTATTAATCAGTGCTTAGATATTGACACGATCTTGAATTTACTGTTTAACCTTTCTTACCGAATGAGTTTTTGATGTTGTTTGAGGGAAAAATGTTTTTCCTGTTCCATCACGTATTTGATGATGCGATTTTGACTTTCTCTGGTGAGAATTGCTTGCGCCTCTTCGATTCATTAAGGATGTGGTTTTTAACGACAGAGGCTTTAACGAACTGTTTGAGCCTGGTTGACGTGTTTCTAAGGACACTCTTGTGAGTAAGGCCTGAAACTATTCATGAGACGTAAATTTTTCACGCATGCTCATGCAGGCACAAGATTACTTATTTGTCAGAGCCTTAGTCCCATTTGTGGCTAGTGTGCTGATAAAAGCGTGGAAGGAATCGGATGACAGTTCAGATATGGAAGTAATTTTGGGTGGAATGGCCTCTCTGGAGAATGAGATATCATGGTTCAAAAGAGAAGCCTCCAAGTGGGATGTTCCTCTTTCTGACGTCGCTCCTCAGCAAGCTAATATTAACTACTGCAGGTGAAGTTTATTATCCACCGATCATCTTTCTCAATTTATATGTAATACGTTATCTACTTCTTCTTCGTGATTGGATAATAGCTTGTGGAGTTCATCGCCTTATTATGTGGAAATGTGTAATTTTGAAGACAAGTTGGGATGTGTGAGTAGCATCTAGTCTAAGATTTACTACTTGTGGGGAGACGTTCTGGTATAGATTTAATGTGTTAGTATAAAGATCAAAAGAGATCCTGCTATTTAATCTCTTTTCATACGTACAAAAGCTATCCTGTCAGTGTGTAACTTGTGGAAGGAAGCGCTGCTTCATGCCATTAGACTTTGTTAAAAAAATGTGAGTTGTCCTTGAAAAGTTTCTTGTTCAAACTTGTTCTGTATTTGTAAATAAACCATGGCTGACATGTAAAGGCATGCTAACAAGTTTGTATATTGAGGTGGGTCTTGTAAAAGACCACATCTCTGCATTTGTTCATATTGCTTTGATCTCTATTTATTGTGGTAAATTGCATGCATTCTTTGCTCTGCCATGATAGGTTCCTGGAGAAATTGATGAGACCAGAAATGGAATACACAGAGGTTATAACAGCATTATGGACCATAGAAGCAGTGTATCAGGAGAGCTTTGCACACGTTCTTGAAGAAGGGTCTAAGGCACCACCAGAACTGAAGGAGACATGTGAGAGGTGGGGAAATGAGGGTTTTGGTCAGTATTGCCAATCTCTGCAAAAGATTGCCACTCGGCGCTTGCAAAGGGCTTCAGATGATCTGCTCAAAAGATCTGAACTTGCGTTGCTGACTGTTCTTGAGCTTGAAGTTGAGTTTTGGAATATGAGCCGTGTAAACGCCTAGAACTGTTGCACTTTCACAGAGACGACCCCTATGTTTTCAAATAATATAGTTACATCCTGATGCTTGGAACTAATGCCCTTATCGAATTAGTAACTACCCAAGCAAAAAGAGAAAAATGGGCCAAAATCATCTGTATATCCTGTTTTTCAAGAAGGTTAATTACGCCTGTTCATCAAAAATTGTCGTGCACAAATTAATCATTCATATATATAACAAGTTGGTTCACTTCACCGACACACACACACACGGATGTGTGTGTAAATGGTCAACTAGTAGATCTCCTGATGGTTAAAAGTTCTGACTTAGAGAATGAAGAGGGCTGTGGAGAAGATCTCTAACGCAAATAGCAAATTGTAAACTGCCGTCTGGGAAAGGACGCGTCTTTTAGTCACCAAGTGGATTTTCTGCCTCTCAATGCTGAATGCTGATCGATCACTGTGAGTTGGCATCTTGGCATCAATATCATAACCAAATGCCTTAGAATGGGTCCAATAACGTTCTACTATTTTTAATATATGTGGCCTGAGAGTGTTTTTGGTATTTAGATTTAAAATCTATATTAATATATTTAAATAAAAGGTATATGCAATTAATATGGAGGGATTCATTTTTTTGACACAAAATCCAAAGAGAAAAGTACTTCCGTAAGTTACTCTGCCTGCTACTTTATAAATAATTGGCTCTCCGTAACAGAACCAAGGAGAGGGCCACGTCGATCATATCGTCCCATTGACAACCTCGATAACCCTCTCGACAAAGGGACGTAAGACTTAGTCATATTTATCTTGGAATAATCGAAACTCGTCCTCAATCTATGATTTATATATGGTTTAATTCAAAAGGAAGAAAGATAAGAAAGTAATTATCATACTTGTCGTCCTAGCTGGATTTCCCATGTAGAACTCTTCAGACAGTTTTAGAACAGAGAAAGAGAGCCCAGAAATAATGGGAGATTGGTATCCATTCAGCGAGTTCGATTTCGAAGCTGTAGTTCAGGACAAATATAGTTCATCCAACAACGATTTCTGGACGGTGTCGTCAGATCCACTGGATCAGCATCATCATAATGAAGATAAAGGACTGAAAAACGTTAATATTTCTGAAGCAGAGGACTGGGGAGACTCGGGGAATTTCGGGTTCTTCCCCGATCATGACTATTCAACCCAAGAAGATTCCTTTTTATCCTTCACTAACCAACAGAAGGAGCAATTGTCGAATCTGGATTATGATTCGTTGGATAATCTCAGATTCGACATGGTCGTCTCTTCGCCGCTCGGTGACGCCCCCAAGTTTGATGATCAAATCCTAGCCATGGCTGATCTCTCCCGACCTAACAAGAATTACCAGGACCAGAATTTGTCTCTCCCTTTAGCTTCACTTGATCTTCTCAACAACTATGGTAATAGATTAAAGCGTTTATACCGCGAAATTGAGCCAGATGAGGATAATCAGCTTCAGCCTATTGATGATTTGAGAGAAAGGAAGAAGCTCTCAACAGAGGATGTGATGAGAATCGCCGGAGCAATGTTCATCCGATCATCGTATTCAGATCAATCAGAGGGTTTGGATTATTTAATTCCCCAACCTTATGATTGCTACTACTCTAGCCTTTCCGAAGAAGAAAAAGGGGACGTGAAGCTCGCTGAATCTCTTCTCGCTTCTGCCGAGAAAGTCGGGTTGGGTCAATTCGAACGAGCAGCCAAACTTCTTGACCACTGCGAATCACAGTCTTCCAAGACTGGGAACGCCGTGAAACGTGTCGTCTCATACTTTTGCGAGGCCCTCCGCGAAAGGATAAACAGAGAAACAGGAAGAGCTTGCGCTCCTCCATTTTCTCCGGTGGGAGAAATCCCTCGTCATTATCATAAATACAGAGAAAAGGAATTCACACTTTTCGATCCCGACAAGTCAATGCAGAATCCAGGCCCTACTATTATTGCATGCCACGTACAGCTTCCTTTCTGTCAGGTTGCAGTGTTCGCCGGAATCCAAGCCATCTTGGACAAACTAGGCGATTCAAAAAAGGTTCACATGATCGATCTCGGAATCAGAACAGGATTGCAATGGACCATTCTCATGCAAGCCCTTGCATTACGACGAGAATGCCCACTCGAGCTCTTAAAAATAACAGCAGTAGGAACAACAGAGAAAGATTCACTGAGGGAAACGGGTAAGAGATTAGCCAGTTTTGCAAAATCCATGAACATACCCTTTTCGTTTTATATAGTTACGGTATCCGACATGCATGAGCTTAAGGAAGAACTGTTCGAGCTAGACGGCGAGGAAACAATCGCAGTTTACGCCATGTTCGCACTGAGGCCCCTGATTGCAGAGGCAGATCAGTTAGAAGCGATGATGAAGGTGATAAGAAATTTGAACCCGATCGTGATGGTGGTGACCGAAGTGGAAGCAAACCACAACTCAAAGTCATTCGTGAAGCGGTTTACGGAAGCTCTGTTCTACTTCAGTGCATTTTTCGACTGTGTGGAGGAATCCATGGAAGGGGACGATCCGAACAGGACGGTTTTGGAGTCATTATATTTAAGTTATGGGATTAGGGATATTGTGGCGGCGGAGGGAGAGAAGAGGAAGATTAGGAACGTGAAGATTGAAGTGTGGAGGGCTTTCTTCGAGAGGTTTGGGATGGTGGAGGGAGAACTGAGTATGTCGTCGTTGTACCAGGCGGAGCTGGTGGCAAAGAGATTTGCTGGTGGGAGTTTCTGCACGTTTGACAAGAATGGAACTAGTTTGCTTTGTGGCTGGAAGGGTACTCCACTTTACTTTGTTTCTGTCTGGAAATTCCTTTGATCACAGCGTACGTGAATGAATTAAAATGCTTGTTTTGGTTAATTTGAAGTATCATCTTGTGAAGGATCAATATACATATCAAGTATGTGTAAGCTTTTGTTTCTGGTTCTTGTTGCAAAATATGCCTGCTTTACTTCCATCTTCATGTCAGTCTGATGCGCAGAGTTTAATCGCAAGACTCCAACCAAAACCCCATAATCTGTTATAAACATAAAAGCAATTAATTAGGATATCCATTGAGCTTATATGACAAAAGATGACTGATAGCATAGTGTAGGATCGTAGGGGTTGGTGAATGGACTTGCATGTACGTTATCAACAGGACTGTTCATTGATTAATTACTGATACACACAAGCAAACCTTTTACTCTCATCCGTTGTTGGTACCTGGTAATGAAAGTTGAGATCATAGCGATTACTGCAACGAAGGGGCCTGATCTTAATGTGGGCTTGGAGCATGAGGCAGTTATGTTAGCGGATCAAATGCTTATCGCAGGAGGAAATGTGTGCGTGCGTGCGTGCGTGCGTGCGTGCGTGTGTTTGTTTACAGCTGATTACCTGTAGCTTAGTTAACATAAGCTCTCGAGGTTGGCAGGTTGTACACTTGTACCTGTAGTCTCAATTGGTGTTTACTCCTCTAATTTTTTTTTTAAAAAGGGAAATATATGTCCACAGAAACGAGATGGATGAGCCCACATACATTGCCCACTAACATAACTTGCCCCATGAAGGTCAGGCCCATTCATTCATTACACCACTAAAATAACTCTTTCACTCGCATCATATAGTTCCTATGTGGGGCAAACCTTTTGTTATGAATATAAATTTATTGATATTTGAGGCTGATTTTTGCCATTCATGATTTTAATTCCCTTCATCAGCAGTCTTGGAATTAAGTTGAACCGTTTAGATGCTTTTATAATTAAATTTCTTTCAGACTATTGTTTAATTACTTATGAATGGTTTTCTGAGATTTTGTCGACAAGTCTGATGAGGAATGATATATAAACATTAAATTGTGCTTCATTCCCTGGTCATTTATTATCTATTAAGAGAAAAAGGACATCAAAGTGGCTGTAGTTTAGTGGTAAGAATTCCACGTTGTGGCCGTGGAGACCTGGCCTCGAATCCCAGCAGCCACACTATTTTTCCCCGCATCTTTCCAAACAAATTTGACAGTTTCCCTTTTTGATATGACAACAGAATACGAGGGCGCCACCACGAATTACTGGAATTGCTACCCTCCCTCTACTACTGGTTGTGTAATTCTATCCGAATCGCAAAAACAGATATTGATATTCAAATCCACTAATTGCTTCCAAAGATGGGAACTTCAAGGTCTGAACATACATACATATAGCCGGGGGGAAATGATAAGCGGTTTAGCTAATCTGAACACCAATCCAATTGTAAATGAAAGCCAATGATCACTTTTGCATGGGTTCGACGTATTCAACTGTTGATGATATTGTCAGATCCTATGGTTCTGGTGTGACATTCGCACTTGAGATGACCATTCACAGAGAACCAGATGCCACATTCTTACAAGAAAAAGCATACAAGCCAAGCTAAGAATCAATGTAAATTCGCGCTTCTCCTTCAAAAAGAAACATAATTAATTAATCCTCCTCGTTCTTCTATAAAAAGAGATCGCTTCTCAATTATTATATCACCTGTTAATATACCAAACAAAGCTGCGTTAAACACAAAAATCCAGTCACAAAATGGCAAGCAGTGTTCGTCCTGCTGGAGCTCCCGCCAACTCCGTGGGCGCTGATCAGTATATGAGTGCGGCTCAAGAAGTTCAACCCCAACCCTCTAATTATAGTAATCCAAACAGTCCTGTTGCTGCACCAGATCGTTGTTATGACCTTTATCAGAATACTGGGACGCAGTATATTAGTGGGCTTACTACTCAGGTTGGAATAGTGAAGGGCCACGGTAATGGAGCCACCGTCTATGGCTCCTTCGTCGTTCGTTAGGCAACAACCCAGAAATATGCAGACCTGCGCAGGCACTCATGGATATATCTTCCTACATATGTATTCAAATAAGTGATTTGTATCGATGCAACCTTCACTGTAATTGTTTCTTAATTAAATAATTAAACTTAATGACCTTTTGTTCCTATGAATGCTTTGTTGAGTTTATGGAGTTCTTCAAACCGATCGTGTCTTGCTTGAGAACAGAGGGAACGTTTGGTGGAAATAGAAGGAGGGAGAATATGAAGAAAGAGGGAGACTTTTGGTCATTTTCTTCTTTCAA